CCCTGGAAAAATGTTAAAAATGGACTCTGAAAATGTTAGGCTTTGTGTTTGCCGGATCATGTGAAATTGCACCTGCATCAGCAGTATATGATAAATAATTGTTAAATGTGATGATTGTTTAGTAATTAAATATAATTACTGTTTAATCATAAGAATCATGAGAAACTGTTAGAAGTTTGAGGGGGACCACAAGGAGCCCATGCTTGGATGAAATCTACGTATACAATAGAACAATATAAGTTTAATAATTAACATGAAAGTTATATTACGATAGAAAATAAAAACATGTTCATCCCGAACCCATATCGGAGTCAGATTTGGGCTTGTACCCCTGACACCCAGAGGTCTTCAATAAAAGCACCTGCATGTAATCATTCTCGTGATTATATGTTTCTCAACGCCAACAGAGGCTGTGGGGAAACCCTAAAAACTCTGCCTGTGGCCCTTCAGCAGCTCTGCAGCTCTCCTGGAGCTCCTGTGGGTATGGGACAGTCAGGGCAGTTTGGGGCAGGCAGGTTGTGGGGAAGCCCAAAATCTCTGTCACCCTGGTCCAAAGCCCATCACAGACATCGTTTATGGAAAATCCTTTCCTTAGGATTTTTCCTCCTGAGAAGCTGGGAGGCGTCAGGAACAAAGTGTAAGCATTGATTATCTGCTGCTGTGGAATGCAGTAGGTGCATCTGGGATTGGTCTCATGTGATTGTTTCTAATTAATGGCCAATCACAGCCCAGCTGGCTCAGACAGAGAATCGGAGACAGAACCTTTTGTTATCATTCTTTGCTATTCTATTCTTAGTTAGCCTTCTGATTAAATCCTTTCTTCTATTCTTTTAGTATAGTTTTAATGTAATATATATCATAAAATAATACATCAGCCTTCTGAAACATGGAGTCAGATCCTTGTCTCTTCCCTCATCTAAGAACCCCTGTGAACACCATCACAAAAGCTCCTCTCCAGCTCTCTCAGAACCCCTTTGGGCACTGAAGGCTGACTGGAACCTTGTCTAGGTCAACAAAGAGAATGAAGAGCGAGGTTTTGCCCCTGGGTAGAACAACCCCAGGCTCCAGTGTGGAATTAGAGTCACTCAGCTGGAAAAGAGCTCCAGGAAAGGCCCTGGGGGTGCTGCTGGGCACTGGGGAGACATGAGGCAACAAACGTGCATGGCTGCAGAAGGTGAGAGTGTCCTGGGCTGCACAAGCAAAGCTCTGCCTGCAGGTCGAGGGATAACATCCAGAACCCCATGGCAGGAGTTCTGTCCTTGAGGCCATCCCCAGGACAGGCAGAGCAATTTGGGGCTGTGGGGAAACCCTAAAGCTGTGCCTGTGTCCCTGGGGACAGGGATGGCTGGACAAAGAGCCTCTGGTGACCAAACCCCCAGACCAAGGTGTGACCTCCCCTCCAGAGCCTGCTCCCATGGCTCTGTGCTGCGGGCTGTGTGTGGGGCAGGGGGATGTGAGGGGCAGCAAGGACAAAAGCCATCAACCTGCAGCCCCTGCCAGCCTCCCCAGGGAGGCCGAGGGAGAAGCAAAGTGCAGCCCCCTCCAGGAAAGTTCCTCCTGTGGGGCCTCCAGAGGCGCTGCCCAGCCCAGGGCACAAAGGCCTGGGTGCCTGCGGCCCTGCCAGCCCTGCCCAGCCCTTGGCCATCTGTCCTGCAGGCTGTGCCCCCTGTGGCTGCACACACGGACACAAACCAAGTGCTCACCTGATGAAGAGGGTGCAGAGGATGAAGATCACCAGCCCCACGATGCTCGGGGCATCCCACCAGGTTGTCAGGGGCTCGGTGGCCGTGGCTGAGCCAGTGCTGTTCCTCAGCAGCAGCGTGGGGTTACAGCGCTGGCCTGGGGGGACACAGAGGGACAGACCCCAGTGCAGGGGGTGCTCCTGCCCCAGCCAGCCCTCCCCAAAGCCCAGGTGCGTCTGGCTTACTCGGCACGTTGGCCAGGGCGGCCCAGGTGATGTAGATGGTGTAGAGGGTGATGAGGGATGCCTGCAGCAGCCCCGAGTGTGGCTGAGCCTCCTGCAAACACAACAGTGGGTGCTGGGGGTGCTCCTGTACCCCAGGGTGCCCCAGCCCTGGGTGCTCCTGTACCCCAGGGTCACACAGCCCTGGGTGCTCCCTACTGCCTCACCTGGATCTTGGGGAGGATGGACACAACTGAGACGATGAGGCAGAGGATGAGGTTGATGCTGATGAAGGCCTTGCCCTCCGTGCAGCCCTCAGGCTTGGTGTAGTAGACATAGAGCAGCACAATGGCTGTGATGGAGGCGGCGTAGAAGATGAAGGTGACGGTGCAGAGGGCTGGGGGAGGACACCAAAGAGACTGGAGCAGTGTCACAGACATATTTTATAAAAAATCCTTTCCTTAGGATTTTTCCTCCTGAGAAGCTGATAGGGCTCAGGAACAAAATGTAAACAATGNGCCACCCCTGAGTGTGACCCCAACACTGGAGTCAACCCTGGATGTGGCCCCAACACTGAAGCCACCCCTGAGTGTGACCCCAACACTGGAGTCGACCCTGGATGTGACCTCAACACTGGAGCCACCCCTGAGTGTGACCCCAACACTGGAGTCAACCCTGGATGTGGCCCCAACACTGGAGCCACCCCTGAGTGTGACCCCAATGCCAGAGCCACTCCAGGGTGTGACCCCGCCGCTTCAGCCACCCCAGGGTGTGACCCCACACTGCAGCCATCCCAGGTGACCCCACTTCTCTGGCCCCCCCACACTGTGACCCCACTGCTTCAGCCCTCCCTGGGTGTGACCCCACCACCGTGGCCACCCTGGAGCTGCGACCCCACTGCTTCAGCCACCCCTGAGTGTGACCGCACTGCTGCAGCCCCCTCCTCAAGGTGTGACCCCACAGCTGCAGCCACCCCAGGGTGTCACCCCAACACTGCAGCCATCCTGGAGCTGTGACCCCACAGCTGCAGCCACCCCTGGTTGTGACCCCAACACTGCGACCTCGGTCCCTGCTCCCCCTCCTCCCAAGGGATCCCGGGCTGCAGCAGAGGATGCTGGCAAGCCTAGGAACAACCCTAACAATAATTAACAATAATTAACACCGATAAGGGAGCAGGTTCCTCACACACCTCAGCAGTGCCCAGCACATGGGCACAGCACCCGCGAGGAGGGGACCCGCAGGAACAGGGACAGCCCTGTGTGCCCACAGCCGCTCTCACCTGTACCAGTTGGTGAGGGTCATCATGATGTAGAGGGCGGCGAGCAGGAGGCACAGGTGGAAGAAGGTGTAGCTGTAGGAGACTCCCTCCTG